CCCCAAAAAAAAATAAAAAATAATAATAAGCTAAGACGCTGGTGTTGGGTCTCGAACTCTTGGCAAGGGGCACATGAGCAGACTAACAACCGGTAGCCCCATTTGACTTTTGATCTTAAGGGTTCCAAGTAAAATATATGAATGTTTTTAACATATATACACACATACATCTATAATTTTTGCCGAGGTTAATGGGGTGCGATGACTCCTCTACTCCAAGCATAGGTCCGCCTCTAGGCCACCAGTGGCGGATCTAGGATTTTGGGTACCTGGGTGCTTAACTTTTTTTAACATAAACTTACTACACATTATATAAGTAAACAACTATTTTAATACGGCGATGAAAAAAGTTACCGAGAATCATATTTAATATTATGGACATCGTGAATCTGTGCTGAGAATACAATTGGCTAAAAGAAAAAATTGGTGGGTTTTACCTTTTTGGAGGAACTATTTGTCTTTAAAAGGGGTCGAACTTTGGGATCTTTTTTTTAAGAAGATTTTTTTTCTTTGCTATAGAGAGTTAGGTAAAGCAAAAATAAAAATAAAAAGCTAAAACCAAAGGAAGTAGTATTGAGTTAAGAAAGTGTGCGTGAATAATAAAAAAGAAGACCTAATTAATTGGGGGAAATATTTTTTTTCAAAAAAAAAAAAAAGAAGAAGAAGAAGGAAGAAAGTAGCCTTCAATATAAGAGAAAGAAACAGTTTGCCTGGTTAAAAGTGCTGCCACTAGGACTGAGTTTCGAACTCCCGCCCTTTAACATCATTAAACTTCCAGCACCCCTTCTTAACCAAAGCACCCACCAACGTTTTTATTTCCTGGGTGCTTTTTGACCTTTTATATCCATTTCGTTAAGTTTTCCATGAAATTATACCTACTCCAGGTTAAGGTTAATGGGTGCTTAAGCACCCAAAATTTGTATATAGATCCGTCCCTGTAGGCCACAACCATGAGGGTATGATATCTGCATTGTGCACCAATAGCCCTTCGATCTTCGTATTAGTAACTTTTTTTCAAAACAAACCGTGCTTGCTTGTGATTATAGTATTTCCATAACCATTTAAATATGTTAATATGTTAAGAATATGGACCTAGGGTGTAACTCAACCTCTGAGTTAGCTCATGCGGTAAGAATTTGTCCAAGATCATATAGGGAGACAACAACTCATTCCTTAAACCAACATGGAGCATTCTAACACCTCTTTGCACGTCCATGCTGGACATCTATAGCATGGACAATAAGACATGGTTGTCCAATCTTGCGCGAACCAAGAATAGGGATATGGGTTTGGCTATGCTGCAATGTTAAGAAAATGAACTTTGGGAATGACTCAACCTCAAAAGTTAAGTTAAAAGCTAAGTGATGAGGTAAAAACAAAAGTCTATTTCCTCAATCAATGTCGAACATTCTAATAAAATAGAAGGCTTTTTTGTTAGGTAGTCTAAGTTCCAAACACCTTCCTTTGCATGGTGAAATGCCCCTCCTTTGGTTGGATCATTGTGTTCCACTTTATCCATAGGAATTTTCTTCTAATTCCCTGCAATTTCTCCAACTTTGATTTCAGCGGGAACGTGGCATAATATAAGGCGAAAGGCTATCTGATAAACTGTTAACTAGGGTTAAGCAACCTTTTCCGAGTTGTCTCAAATTTATCAACCACCCTTTGCCATAGATTTGTTGTTTTTGGTATTCTTCACCAAATTAGAGCTCTATATGATGACGGAATAGTAAAAAAATCTGAAACCTCGTTCCTTATACTTCTTCTCGCCACCATATCTCTGAGAACTCACTCTCGGGCCACACCCGCACCCAGACAGCACTCCCATTTGCTAAATAACCCGCAAGAGTCCTCCATACCAGCTTTCCAGGCCATCCTTCTCTTATTATATTATTACTCTTTTCCAAGACCGCCCCTCAATCACAAATCTCGTAACCCAACAAAGCCTGGGTAAATGCCCCTGTGTTTCTTGTTTTTTGTCACTTTCCCGTCTCCCAACTATAAATAGGAAACTCTCATATTTCACTGAATTAGATAGAACTTTTTTCACAACTTTCCTAGCCTCTCACATAGAACACCTTTATTGCATCTCTGTCCTGTGAGCAAGATATGCTGGTAGAGGCTCCAAGGACAAAGTACGTACAAAGTATATGAGTCCTCTTGATAGGTTCTGACTTACCTAACTTAGTACTACTGCATTCTGCTAGGTTCTTAATATGAATATTCCTCATATTCCTAGTATTCTTGCTTAGCATCAGAGTTATATGATGGTTAAATCAGAAAATAGCAACTGCACCAGCCTGATACTTGTTTAAAGGGCTGCTGGTTCAAACCAGTAGTAAAACCCCAAATGTGGCTTATACATCATTGCCTTAAACCCTTGTACCCCATAGAACCAAGCTCTCTCAGTCTCCGGGATACTGGATGTGTACCTGCCGGTTTTGTCAATGGCCTTTGACTCTTGTGTTTGTCTGAATCCTTCCCTATACTGTTGCCACTCTTCTCTGCACATAGAGCGATCAATTACAAGCAACTGCTATTATTGTTTTCCGCAAGTCATCTAATCTAATGTGCTCTGCAGGAGCATCCAGAGTGGGAGATCAAAAATGGCTTTGTGATTTTCCAGAAAGTAAAAGATTCCGTGCCTTGCAAGGAGATACCATCCCTGCAGCTTATCACTCAAACACTCAGCTATGCAAGGGAGCTGGAGCGCATTGTCTGAGAAGACACGTCACCCTGCTCTTTTTGGGATTTCAGTCTCATATATTCTCGAAATTGGACTGTACTGTGAAGATATTTTCGTTGCCTTCATCATAAACAAATTACGATGATACTGTTAGAGAACAGTTTTTGTATCTTAAATCTTAATGAGGATCAACATCTTCCTTTTTCTCCCTTTTAGGTGTCTTAGAATTTCCATCTGATATATTTTGTGCTGTCGCTTGCTCCCATCCACACAATTAGGGAAAAAGCTCATTCTTTATGCTTCATTTTTTCTGGCCGCTTCATTAGGATCGTCTCTGCATGTATTTGCGCTTCCATTGCACTTCCTAGGTATTAATGTATACAATTCAGCATATTAATATGTGGATTTATTTTTAGTGCGGTGCTGAGGGGGGGTTATTGTTAATAACAGTTTAAAGTTAAAGGACAGAAAGACTACAGTGCAAGATTGCCAAGAAGAAAGAAGAATAGGTTAAATTGTTGGCAAACTAGAACAGCGTGTTGTGTTACAGCTTGTTTATTCTCTAGTTTAACACAATCAATCAAATACATAACTCCAAATATTTTATGAACACTTAAATGTTGTATTATAACGTCTAATCATTTTCATCTTATTGTTATTACCTAGCACTAGCTTTGTATAAGTATTTGGACGAGGAACAAGAGCAACTAGTTATGGACATGTTTATGTACTGGAATAGTAAAAGTAGGTGTATGTGATTTCTTAGTCGGTAATATGTGTTCTTTTTTGTTTTCCATATGAAAGCTGTTCTTGTTGTCATAGTATCTAAAGAAAGGAGATCTAATATAGTACCTCTTTTCTGCATTTGAGACTTGTATGTGCAAAAGTTACACCAATAATGTTGTCTAGAGTGTTGGTCAATAAATATTTGGTATCCAAGACAATATTACAATATGAACAACAAACGACGTTATGCATGGCTGGCTAGGTGGCAATATTCATTGGCCAGGTGCAAAGGCGGATTTTGGATTTTTAAAACATGGATGCATCACTAAAAACTCAGTATTCAACCAAGTGCATCATTCAGTCTTTTTGGAGCATGGAGCCAGAAGATAATATTAAATACATTCTAGGAAATATTTACATAAAATTAAATACCTAATTTGAAGGAGAGATCATGAGTTCACATGCACCGTAGTTTGAGCAGTAAATCTGCCCCTGTCCAAGTTCTAACCATATAGAAATGTTCATTGAGCAAATGTCTTGCAATAAAGAAGATAAAGCATGTATTTTTACACATGCCATGTCTGAAAAGCTTCTCTACACCTATAAATAAGGTATCATGACCTCATCACAAAAAAGCTGTAATAATATATCCCTCTACTCAATTTCCTTCACTGTAATTAATATTTTTTTTAGTACACTATCTAATTTGCTATTTTATAATATATTTAGTGTTAGCTTAGGATTTGTATTTTATATAATGGGAAAAAGGCTCAATAATACCTTGTGGTCTTCGAAATGGCTCATGTGTAACCTCCGTTTGCAAACCAGCATATCAGTTCCCTTACCGTTAAATGCCCGCCTATTACTACCCTTTAGCACTAACGGCTCTTTTAAAGACCAATTTCTTTTCCTTAAAATTCCACAGCTTGACACGTGGCACATTAAACCACCCCCCTTTTAAATATTTTTTACCAGCCCCCACCCACTTATTTATCCACCCTCCCCTCTTTTAACATAACCCCTTTCTTTAACTCGATCAAAATCATTCCCCCCAATTTCCTCTCTGTTACTAAAAAAACGGCAACTAGGGTTTTCTCCACTGCAAAATGATCAGCCGATTGAAGGGGAAATTGAAGTAGAGTTTCGTCAGATTTTCGATATAACACAAAAAGGTATGTTCAATTTTATTCTTTCATATGTAATTAATTATTTTGGGGTAGGGTTTGGTCTACTTTGCAGTGCACATGTGAGGGGTATTTAATAGTAGTTTATTGAAGTAAAAGTTGTATTTTTCTATGATGTTGTTAGAGTCATTGGTGTTTCTAACTTATGTGTTGTTTTTATGTGGTTTCTTTATTCGATTTCTATCATCTTCTTTTCAATGCATATTATACTTTAATGGCTGATGTGGTCTATCTTTATTTGTCTTTGTCCCCTCTTTTGCATGTGGCCTACCACTATAGGATGATTGATAAAGTCGACATTGTTTTCAATTATGGGGGTAATTGGGTACTTTCTCCTAAGTTGGTTTATAACAAGAACATGGTGCACATGTGGGCTGGGTTTGACTCTAAGTTAATGCTGTTTAGAAACATTTGTCAGGAGTTCACTTCAAAATTAGGGTTTTCTAGTGTTCAGTAGTTGTTGGTAACAGGCCATTCTGGTAGGTATTATATAGTTGAAAACGATGATGGTATTAGGGCTCTGCAGTGTCTTTTATGTCAGAAGTTCAAAGAAATTCATTTTTTCGGTGTTGATGAGTTTGATCTAACAGTCCATGCACGAGACATTAAGTATCACACTAAAACTTATGATGTGGATATTGAAGTAGTTAGTGATTGTGAACATAGCATTGGTTCTTATGATTTTTCTGAATCCGATCATGACTATTATTGTGAATATTTTGAGAGTATTAATATGCAAAAGAAGAGCGTAGTGACATATAGTTTAGACAACTTCAAGGAATTGGAACTTGGGATGACATTAGGACATGCTTGTTAATTTCTATACTATATCAAATAAGAAGAGGTTGTGAGTTAAAAATTGTGACTCAACAAGAACCAAATATGTGTGTGATATTGGTTGCCCTTTTGTATGTCTTATATCAGAGGATGGTGGGACTGTTGAGTTCAAAATCAAAACATAGAACCCAAACCACAATTGTAATCCATGCTTCAAGAAAATAGGAGAGCTAGTACTGCTACTTTAGCCGTATATTTTAAGAAAAAGTTACAGGATAATCCCAAGTATGAGGTAAAGGATATAATAGGGAATATAGATGATGATTTCAGTTTGAATGTCAGCAAGTCCATGCTTAAAAGGGCAAAAGTGTGACGACCCGGCCAGTCGTCTTAAGAATTAACGCCCCGATCCCCTATTAACTGCTTTCCCCAAGTTTATTCTGCTATTTTGATTTGTTGGGATGTTCGATATTGAGTTTCGGAGAGTTTTGGGACACTTAGTCCCTAAATGATAGCTTAAGTGTTGGAAAAGTAACTGTAATCAGAACAGTGTGGAGACGACCTCAGAACGGAAATCTGATGGTTCCGTTAGCTCCGTTGGGTGATTTCGGGGTTAGGAGCATGTTCAGATTGTATTTTGGAGGTCCATAGCTAATTTAGGCTTGAAATGCCGAAAGTTGAATTTTGGAAGTTTCCGGTTCGATAGAGATTTTGATCCGAGGGCCAGAATGGAATTCCGAGAGTTGCAGTACTTCCGTTGTGTCATTTGGGATGTGTGTGCAAAATTTCAGGTCATTCGGACGTGTTTTGGTTGGGTTTTTGATCGAAAGCGGAATTCAGAAGATTTTAAAAACTTAGGCTTGAATCCGATGTGTTTTGGTTGTTTTGATGTTGTTTGAGGTGTTTTGAAGATTTGTACAAGTTTAAATAAGGTTTTAGGATATGTTCATGCCTTTGGTTGAGGTCCCGGGGACCTCGGGATGAATTCGGATGGTTAACAGAGGAAATTTTGGAGTTGAAGTGCTGCAACAGCTGGTCTTCTGGTATTTTCGTATCTGCGGTTTGGGGACCGCAGATGCGGCACCGCAGAAATGGCTAAAGGGCCGCAGAAGCAGCTTTGTGTCAATTCTTCAGGAACCGCAGATGCGGTGAAGGGTTCGCAGAAGCGGAACCGCTCCTGCGGTTAGAGGTCCACAGATGCGGAAGATGGCATTTTAATGAAAGTCGCAGATGCGACATTGTGTCCGCAGAAGTGGGACCGCAGATGCGGTCCCAGAGCCGCAAATGCAAAAATTGCTGGGCAGAACATATAAATAGTTGCCTTCGCGAATTTGAGGGATTCTTTCACCATTTTCATCCGAGTTTGAAGCTTTTGAGAGAGATTTTTGAGGAAAACAGAGGGGAATCACTTGGAGGTAACGTCCTTGGATTCATAACTCGTTTTTATATGATTAAAGACATAATTAGTGGTGAGAAATTTGGGAAAAATGGGTAATTAGGGCTTGAGTTTAAGAGGCCTTTAATTGAGGATTTGAGGGGTCATTTGGATTCCGATTTCAGTGTTCTTGTTATGTATAGACTCGTGAGAGTACGAGGTTTCTTAAAATATAAAATTCACCCGATTCCGAGACATGGGCTTGTGGGGCATTTTGATCATTTTATATAATTTCGCGTATTAGCTTAGAATTTAATTGTAGAATCAGTTATTTGAAGTGTTATTTACATTATGCAATTGAATTGAATAGATTTGGGCTATTTGGAGTCGAGTACTCATGGCAAAGATGTGGTGTTGGGTTGATTTTGAGCCGGTTCGAGGTAAGTGGCTTGTCTAACTTTGTGTGGGGGACCTTCCCCTTAGGATTGGTATATTTGGTAATTGAAATGCCTTGTACGTGAGGTGACGAGTGTGTACTTGTGCTAATTGTTGGAAATCCAGTTTTCTTTAAGTACTTACTAGTATGTTTCCTTTTCTGTTTCTATTACTTGCACTATTAAGCCTGTTGTTAGCTTAGGAAAACATGTCTAAGTGACTTAATTGTTTTTTTTTATTTAACCTGCCTTACTTGAATTATGTGCATCATGCTAGGCTAGAATCACTTATTGCCTTAGTATGAATTTTGCTATTTCTGTTTATCTTCCTGCTGCTGTTGTGTATTTATTTTGGGACTACGGATGTGGGATTCCGGTAGCTCCCCCTTGTCTGTTTACTTTGGGACTATGGGTTAGATTCCCGGTAGATCCCCCTGCACATTTACTTTGGGACTACGGGTTAGATTCTTAGTAGATCCCCTGCACAATTATATGGAACTACGGGAATGCACCCGATAGATTACCCAAGTACTGGGTATTTACATTTGGGACTACGGAACAGGATTCCAGTAGATCCCTGCGCACTATGAGTTGGACTACAGGACGGGATCCCGGGAGATCCTTCGGACATATATATGATGGACTACGGGACGGTATCCCGGGAGATTCACTAGATATGTAAAGATGGGGCTACAGGACGGTATCCTGGGAGATCCCCGATTGTTACTATTGGTGCTGAGCTGTATTTCCTTTCCATGTTTACCATGTTCTGTATAATTGTTGCTGTTCTGTATATCCTGTGTTATTT